CATCTCTTTTTCCGGCTTCTTCGAGGCCGGGCCCCTTCCCCGCTGCCCTCTCCCTCCCACAGGTCTGGAGGGGTAGGAGGCAGCGCAGACGAGAGCTCGCGGTACCCCGCCATGCCTGCGTCCCACCACCACCCCCTCCCTCCTCCTTCCTCCCTCCTCCCTCCTCCCTCCTCCATGCTCCCTCCTCCCTCCTCCCTCCTCCCTCCTCCCTCCTGCTCCTCCTTCTCCTCCTCCTCCTCCGCCGACATCTCCACTCCTGCTCCTTTGTTTATAACTCCTCCCTGTCGCACCCCAAGACGTGTCGGTAGGGCGGGCCCGGCGTCTCGCCTGGGACTTTCGTATCACTCATGATCCTGAAGCTGAGAATTTGCACGAGCTTCACGGATGGAAGGTTTGCTGTTTTCAGAATGTGGCTCTCGCCTCAGCGCCGCGCACTCCCGGCTTAAAATTGAAAGAGCTTCATGGATGGAGGGCAGGCCGTTTTCAAAATGGGGCTCTTGCCGCAGCGCCGCGCACGTTCGAGGGCGGGCCGGTTTCAATATGTGGTTCTCGCCTAGCGCCGCAGACACGAGTCTTAAAAAATAGCTTCAGCTTCGCGGATGGAGGGCGGGCCGTTTTCAGAATGTGGTTTTCGCCTCAGCGCCGCGCATTCGTCTTAGAAAACAATCAGTTTTCGCGGATCGAGGGCGGGTCGTTTTCAAAATGTGGCTCTCGCCTTAGCACCGCGCACACTCACCTTAAAAACAAGAGCTTCGCGGATGGAGGGCGGGCCGTTTTCAAAATGTGGCTCTAGCCTCAGCGAAACGCACATTCGCCTTAAGAAATGGATTGATTTTCGTGGATGGATGGTGGGCCGTTTTCGGCGCTTTCCCTTCGCACAAATACGTCTTGAAATTTACAAGAGTTTGACACATGGAAGGCGGCTCCTTTTCAAAATGTGTTTGGCACGATGTCGGACAGCTGATTGATTCGCGGTGTTGAAGTCCCAGGGATGGCGTTCTGGCACGATTCGGGATCGTCAAGACGCAAGCGGCAAGACGCAACCGTAACGGTGACTCGCGGCGCTGAAGTCTGTGGTATGGTGTTCTGGCACAGTTTAGGATTTTCACACGGTTGTCTTCCGACGGGACACTCCCTCAGTGAGACTGAATCCTTGTAGGGGCACATGCATGAAGAGGGAATTTGGAAGGAGGATTGATCGCAGTGTCGTTGATGAGTCTTGGGTTCAGACTGGCCCTCCTCCTCCCTTCTCCTCCTCCTCCTCCTCCTCCTCCTCCGCCGACCTCCTCCTCTCTCCTCTCGACTTCCCCCTGCGCCGCCGAGCCAGCGAAGCGGGCAGGCGCCCGCGGCCCGCCCCCACTGCCACGGGGCGGGCCGGCAGCTCCGGCGCTCTCGGCCGCCACCCGCGCCGCTGGGCCCGCGGCCCAAAGCCTTTGGGTTCACGAGCTTGCGAAGTTCAATTGGGGGCCCAAAAATATACACCACCACCACCTCCCTCCCCCCCTCCCTCTCGCTGGAAAGAGGAGAGAGGAATCGACGTGGTGGTGGTGTATATTCTTTGGGCCCCCATTCCACCGGCACAGGGGCCACAGCCCCGTGAGCGTGGTCCGTGCACGAGATTCGCAGCAGATTGATCACACTGATCTGCGTTAGGCTGGTTGGCTGGGGCAGATGGAGGAACTAACGACCTCACACCCTTGGGCGAAAGAAGCCCGAGATCCGTGATAACGTAAGGCGAAAGGCGCCTTCTCAGCGAGGCTACGCCCCGGGTAGGGGACTCCAGGGGAGCCCAATTTCAGCACCGTTGAAAACATCTGTGCGCTCTCTCTTACCGAGAGGAGGACCTTTCGGAGGGATTGCGGCACTGGCGGCGGAGGAATCATGGAGTGGTTCTCTCGTTGCTGGGGGCCATCGATATCCACAACTCCGTCTCCCGCTCGAGCGCACACGCTGCCGTGGCCCCAGTGCATCATGCTCAAGGCTGCCTTTCTCTCCGCTTGCTTGCAGGCGAGACCTGACGCCACGGGCGTGTGCGCGCCCATCGGCCTGAAGCCATCGGAGAAGTGCGCAATAGAGCACGGGGCAACCGAGGAGTTCCGCAAGGAAAAAAGCAAAACCTTCGCGAGGGTCCTGGACGTGATCCTCCAAGAGAAGGTCAAAGCAAGAGCGAAGGATCAAACAGCAAGAGTCTGCGCACGGTCGAGCAAGAGCCGACCACCAACCTCCAGCTGGCAGGTGGACTGGCATTGCCCTCCTGGACGAGGGCAGCCGAGGCGAAAACGAAAAGAACTGCAAAGGGAGGGAAGGGGAGAGGGAGACCAGCTCAGAGGCTCAGCCCCTTCCCGCGGCAACGCCGGCGCCGCGGGAGGGCGGCGCGGAGGGCGACGACTTCGCCGACGATCGGGGCTCGACGCTCGAGGCTCGAAGCTCGAGCTCGAGATCGACCGATCGCGATACGGGGTCGACGATCGTCGATCAGCGGTCGTTCCGCTCGGCGAACAGACTGCGGCGACGGCCTCACCGAGCCAGACGTCGTGCCGACCCTGCGTGGCGGCGGGCCGGCCTCGCGCCGAGAGGCCCGCCACGGCGGCGAGGAGGCAGGGGGGCGCAGCCGCGGCAGGGCCACGCCGAGCTCGGCGTGCGGGCCGCGCAGGGGGAAGATGCTCACTGCGAGCTCGGGTCGTGGCGGCTTGCGCAGTGGTGCCTGACGCCGCGTGGATCGTTCGGCCCTGAGCGGTCGCGGCTTCCAGATAGCGCACACCGTTCAGCATCGGCCGACTCCAGGTGGGGGGCGGCGCTCGATCTTGAGCGCCCGCGCTGGGGCCGCCGCCGCGTGGCCAGAACACGAAGCCGCAGCAACCAGCCTCGAGCTGAACCCCAATTATCCCTGGACCTGGCAAGCCCAGAGACGACGACCATCGTAGGGATGCGCCATCAGAAACTGCAGGGGCCCTCAAGATCGGTATCGAATGGAGTTCATGCCGATCATTGGGACAGAATAATGTTTCAGGCTGGAGCCTGCTGTTTAGTTATTCGCGATAACTGGCGCGATCGGGGGAGGGGGCAGGGGGAGCTCTTCCCCCCTGGTCACATGACGGCGGGGGGCCGCAGGAAGTCCTAGGAAACCCTGGAAGAATCCTTTGCAGACGTGGGCAACATATAGCGCGACGTGATCTGGGGGGGGGGGAGAGAGAGAGAGAGAGAGAGAGAGAGAGAGGGCCGGTTACGGCGTAATCACCCAGAGTTTACATATTGCTAACAAAAGACGCGGTGACGAGGCAATCTCACGCCAGGAGACCTGCCAGGGCGACGAAGACCCAGACATGACTGCGTCGTATATCTATATATATACATTAAAAATGTTCGACCGTTGTCGGCGCCCTAAGGGCCCTCGCCAGGCCCCTCCTGGACCGTCGAAGACGGCTCGGGATGGATAGCTGGCTTCGGGGAAGCGTCGGGACTTCCAGGGGAGCCGTACTGAACAATAGCAAGACATCGGACGTCTAGCGAGCGAGACAGGGGCGCCGTTTCGGCAGCTGGCTGTGTGGAGCCCCCGCCGCCAAGCTCATCGCGACGTGGAGCGCAGCGACGGACGCGCACGAGGACGCAGGACAAGAAGAATACTGAAATGGCGACTGCGTCGCGGCCTTGGCCCGCGCCGTCTCAGCGACGCTCAGATTGGCGCCCTTGCGCTGCCGAGGGGAGCGATTGGCGCCGACGGAATGCGTCACAAAGAACCACATCGCAAAAAAACACGACCAGAGCCCTAGACCCCACCTTTTTGTTACATTTTTCGAGCTAGATCGACTTGCGTTCCTGGGGCCCGAACCAAAGCGAAAAAACGCCGCGTGAAACAATTGACCCCCCCGGATCTCAGGAGGCCGCGAGAGAGAGCGGAGCCACGCGCATCTTGCCATAAACTGTCGCACAAGGCTTAGCCGAGCCCACACTGCAGCATCATGCGGCAACACTGAGAAATCGGCAAGGGCGCGACCAGCGGGGCCAGTAAGCAGCAGTACGAACTGGCCGCAGGGGGCGCCTCCGACCCCCTCATCCTCATCCTCCTCCTCCTTCGGTCAGAAGGGCTTCTCTTCACCCTAGCTACGCTGTCCACCACAAGCCGCGCGAGCACGACGTAGAGCTCCAGGACGACCCGGTGAAGGTCCTCCTCCTGCTCCTCCTCCTCCGCCTCCTCCTCCTCCTCCTCCTCCTCCTCCTCTTCCTCCTCCCTAGGGCTTCCTCCTCCTCCTCCTCCTCCTCCTCATCCAAAGACGACGCCGACGTCGCCGTCCACCACCGCCACCACCACGACTCCACGAACGACGACTGTAGAAGAAGAAGAAGAAGAAGAAGAAGCACTGCAGACACATCAGGTTTCGGAGGTGTGCGCGGATGTTTTGGGTCGGCGCTGACTCCCTCTGGCGGCGCCTCCAGCTCCGCCATTGGCGCGTTTCGCGAGCCAGCCGAGGGGCGGGGCCAGCGCCGACTCAAGACATCAACGCGGATGTACGAACGTGTGTGCGTGTGCCGCTGCTTCTTTTTATTATGATTACTAAGGGGGTGAATCGAATTACTGTTCCGATCGTTAGTGCTAACGCCATAATGCGAATACGGTTATATGATCCGCATTCAAACCACTAGTCATGTCCTTATGATGAATGTTTGGTTTGGCATTCTTGGCAGTGAAACTGAATCCCGCTTGTTCTGGTTGATGCTGCTCTTCGTGAGGGTAGCCATTTCATTGGTCTCACGATTGCTAGTCATGAAAATACAGACATTAATGGTATTGCTGTTGGTATGGTATTGCGGCGCTCTCCTTAGTAATGTCACGCTTATGTGGCTTAGTTCGCGTATTCTTACTGCTCTGAAACATGAGCAGCATTGCAAGTGCGACCGTGACTCACCTCAATCGGAATCATTAATTCTCCTATTCTTCGCGCTATTACCATGAGTTGCATATTTCTGTTTTGTCGTCTTCTGGGCGGTACGCCCGGGGGCGCCTTCTCCCACGGCGCGGGGTGCGCGGAGCCGCCCGAGCCGCCCGTGTCGCCCGTGTCGGGGAACGGGCTGGGGCGGGGGGAGGAGGCGGGGGCCGCTGCCCCTCCCTCCCACGAGGAACAGGGGAGGAGGGCGAGGACGAGGAGGAGGAGGATGACGAGGAGGAGGACCACTTGAAACCCAAGAGTCATCAACGATCTTAGAATAAGCCCTCCAAGCTCCCTCTTCATAGGCCCCTACAACGGTTCATTTCCACTAAGGGAACTGCCCCGTTGGAAGACAACCGCTTGAAGACCCTGAAGCATGCCAAAACAATGTTCTCCTGATTCCAGCGCCACGGACCAACCCAAGTGTTGCGCCTTGACGATCTTGAATCGCGTCAGAACACCATTCCTGAGACTTCAACACAGCGAACCAACGTGACTGTTACACCCGCAGAATCCTGAATCCAACAAAAAATGATTGGTATGCTGAACATGGGAAACCGTGGAACTCTTGCAAAGTTCGACAACGAATGCGCGCGGCGCTCGGGCGAGAGCCACATGTTGAAAAGAAACCCCCTCAATCCGTGAAACTATAGCAAATATTGGAAGCGAATGTGCGCAGCGCTAAGGCGAGAGACAAAGTTTGAAACAACCCGCCTTCAATGCGTGAAACGATTGCAAATGTTTAAAACGAATGTGCTCGGCGCTGAAGCGAGAGCCGTAGTTTGAAAACCACCCGCCATCAAACCGTGAAAATCTTGCAAATGTTGAAAGCGAATGTGCGCAGCGCTACGGCGAGAGTCACATTCTGAAAACCACTCGCCCTCAATGCGTGAAACCCTTGCAAATGTTTAAACGAATGTGAGCGGCGCTAAGGCGAGAGCCACATTTTGAAAACCACCCGCCCTCCATTTGTGATACAGTTGTGATCTCTTTAAACTTCAGACTCATGAATGGTGAGAAGTCTCAGGCGAAACGCCTGGCCCGTCCTAAAAACTGGTTTCGGGGTGTGACAGGGGGCAGTAATTCATAAGGAAAACGGCATGAAGGAGGAGGACGAGGAGGACGAGGAGACGGAGGAGGAGGAGGAGGAGGGAAGGACGGAGGGGGGGAGGGAGGGCAAGGAGGAGGAGGAGGAGGAGGAGGAGAAGGAGGAGGGAGGGAGGGAGAGAGGAAGGAGGAGGAGGAGGAGGAGGCGGAGGAGGGCAACGAGGAGGAGGAGGAGGACGACGACTAGGGAGGAGGGAGGAGGAGGAGGAAGGAAGGAGGAGTGGGGATGGGGGGGGACAGGATGGAGGAGGAGGGAGGGAGAAGGAGGAGGAGTGAGGAGGAGAAGGAGGAGGGTGGAGGGAGAAATGGTGAGGAGGATGAGGAAGAGGAGGAGGAGGAGGAGGAGGAGGAGGAGGAGGAGGAGGAGGAGCAGGAGTGAAGAGGAGGCAGGAGAAAACGCGGAGAATGGACACATTGACAAAGACCGCGGCACTTCGCGAAGATCGCACCCTTGCGCCGACCGCGCCCGCGCCCGCGCTGGGCCCCAAGAATCGCGCTGGAGCCCGGAGGGATGGCGAGAGGTCCGAGGTGCGGCCTGGGAGTACGGATAAAACAGCCCGACCGCGCCTGCGCTCAAAAACTTAAGACGAAGCCACGACGAGGATAAAATCGGGTAAGGATAAATCGAGAATCTCTGAAATCCTGCGGATCTGGAGGATGTCTCGGGCGCCGCGGCCTTCTCAGAGCGTTCCGGAACTCTCCGAGAGCGTTGCGGAACGCTCTGAACGGACTTCTCCTCGCTCGACAACGGCAGGCAAGGGTTCACATCAGAAGCGGGGTGCCGATCGAACGAGTCCATGTCAGCGGAGCGGCACAGGGGAAGGAGAGCTGCCGTGGGCTCGGGTGGGGAGCGCGCCCCTGCTCCAGTGGCGGAGTGGCCCCGGAGCCCTGGCCAGAGAGCAAGGTCGAGGCAAGTTGCTGTGTCACGGTGGTGGCCCCAGGCCCACGGCAGGGCAGGTCAAACCATCAGTGCCGGTCACCAAGCCTCGGCACTGAACACTAAGCGAGCCAGACGGCCGCCACGCAAAACCCAGAACGCCACACCAGCCGAACTGCAGCAGGCAAACTCGCGTGGAGAAGCGTGACCTGGAAGAGAAGATACCACGGGCTACCCGTGACAATTATTGCCCAGGCGCGCCGTGGCGAGGCAAGTTTAAAAAAATGGGGAGACGGGAGCCAGATGGCGTTGTAGCAAGGTGAAGGCAAATGCAGGGTGTTGGCGCTGCGCGCGCGGATGGGCAGACAAGGAGCTTGAGATAGCCCAAACCCCCTTCGCACAGCAAGGGGAAGGGGGCAATGGCAGAGGCGCTGGGACGGCCTCCAAGTGCAACCTTGCTGGCTCTTGCGACTGGTTGCTCATCGACACCAATCGACGCCAATCAACGCTAAATCGGCGCGAAATCCACGCTGATCGGCGTGCACCCATCGACTACCAGGCACCAGCGTACGCTAGTGGACTCTGAAGACGGAATTGCGAGGACACACTAGCCTCGTACGAATTTTCGCTGAACGACGTGCATATCTGGCCCCGCGACGCAATGCCTGGCGAGCGGATAACGCGTCGTTCCGCTCCGAAGGGCGAGAAGCTCGGAAAAGCTCGGGGCACTGACGGCCCTGACCGCGAAAAGAATAGCGCGTTGCTCCAAAGCGCGGCGAGCCGGAATCGGCGGAACGACGCGCTATCCAAAAGCTCCCGACCGCAACGAACGAACTGCAGCGCTGGCCACCCGCGAAGAGGAACCCCTCCGAAATTCGCACTCTGCGGGGACCGTCCAAGGCGCCGCCGCCCCTGCCGAATGCAGGCGCGCACCCGTGCCAGAAGTGGGGACGCGCGACGGCTGAGAGAGCACCCAGGACGAGGAGCGACCGAAAAGGAAAGGGAGAGATGGGGAGGCGAATTAAAGACTGTGAGAAAGTGAGCGAGAACGACAGAAAGAGAGAAAGGGGGAAGAAAACGAAATCAAGAAAGAAAGAGAAACGAGCTTGAAACGGAAAAAGTAAAGAGCGAGCTAGCTGGAAAGAGGGAGAGAGGAAGGAGAGAGAGCTAGCTGGAAAGAGAGAGAGAGAGAGAGAGAACAAACAAAAGAGGAAAGAAAAGGAGAGAAATCTTTACCACCTCGGGATGGAGAGGATGCCGTCTGACGACACGAAGGGCGACGCTGAGAAAGAGAGACAGAGAGAGATCCAATACATATAGATATGTATGAACTGGAGAGACAGAGAGAGAGAGAGAAAGAAACAGAGAGAGAGAGAGAAAGAAAGACAGAAAGAAAGAAAGAAAGAAAGAAAGAGAGAGAGAGAGAGAAAGAGAGAGAGAGAGAGAAAGAGAGAGAAAGAGAAAGAGAAACAGCGAGCGCGAGCTAGAGCGAGACAGAAAGGGACAGAGAGAGAGAGAGAGAGGAAGACCCGACAAGCAGACAGGCGCCCCGTCACAGCCGGCTACTGCGGTAGCCAAAGCCGCCAATGCACGCTCAGCGGCGGCGCCCACCTTGGGGCACGGGGGGCGCTGAAAACAAACGCGCCCCCGCGCGCGGCGACTAAGATAAAAGGCGGGGCGCTGAGCAGGCGACGCGCCGCGTCTCTCGGTGCCCCGCGGTGAAGGGCCCAGGTCGGCAATGCCCGGTTGGCGACCAGGGGGCAAGGGCGCCCCCCGCCCCCACAGCCAGGCACCGATGACGCGCGGCCGCGCGGTAAGTCGAGCCGGCGTGAGGGGGGGCCGAGAGGCCAGGTAGGTCCTGCGCGGGGTTGCACGGCCCTGAGCAGGTCGCGCAACGCGGGGAGGGGCGCCGCTCCGCCAGGTGACAGGTTGGAGGAGCGAGACGCGAAGGCGTCGCGGGCTCGGAGGAGGCGCTGCACGAGCAGGCCTTGCCGGGAGGCACGGGCGCGGAGATGGCGGGCGAGGGTGGGGGGCTGGCGGCAAGAAAGGTCGCGGAGCGCCTGCAAGCCTCGGCGCGGCGGGCTGCCCCCCCAGACGACGCCAGGGTCGCCGGGGGCACTTGGTGGGCGGATGGGGGCACCAGTCATTAACGTGGGGGTTGCTTCGAGCTTGCGCGGATGAGCGCCCTGTGGTTCTAGCCCGACTGCGGGGTAGCGGGAGCGCGCGGTGTCGTTTGTCGCGGATGGTGACCGCCGCGCCATGGAGCACCGCCGCACAGCGGCGTCGCTGTTTCGCTGCTTCGATCCAGCGGGGTGGGAGGTGGTGGAGGGCAACCGCGTCAATGGCGACGTGATCTGCATGGCGATTGAACTCTCCCGACACGACGCCGACGCGGTTTCCATTGACGCCTTCATCGCCAGGGTGGCCCGTGACCACTCGGAAGATGTCAGGTCTGGCCACGACGCAGCGTTTAATGCGGATCCAGAAGTCGCCCTGCGGCCCATCCCAGGCCGGGGAAAGTCCGTCAAGGATCCGCTGGAAGCCATCTACCACGGCTTGGTTGTCGACGGCAACGCGGACAGGGCCTTCGGCAGTCACGCCGAGGCGGAAGACCGCCAGGGCCTCAGCTCTCTTAGTGTTCTGGATGAGTCCGTGGACGCGCGCAGCCTAGTTTAGGCGGCGGTCCCTGCCGTAGTAGGACCCCATAGGCAGCGCGCGCAAGAAATGAAACGGCTCGGCGCGAGCACGCTCCGTCGGCGGCCGCGCAGGCCCGCCGGCTGCCGCGAGGGTCCGCGCAGGTGGCGTAGGAGTCGCCGCCGGGCCCTCCCGGTGGCGGGCGGGGGGCGGGCCGGGGGAGCTGGCCCCTGGATAACTCGGCTTGGCGGTCGAGGAGGTCGGCGGATTCATCGATGAGCCCGCAGCGTCGCGCGCGCGGTGGAAAGACCCCCCAATGCTCGTCGGAAATCATCGCGGTGTGGGGCGGGGGGGGGGGGGCGTCTTTGAGGTAGCAGGGGCGCCTCCAGATGGCGTGCTCTCGCGTCACCTCGTCGTTGTCGCAGTATCTGCATAGTGGGTTCTGGGTTCAGGCACGTCGCGCTGGTGCGCAGGCGCGCGCGCGGCGCCGCAGCGCATGATCGCCACCCGCGAGGTAGTTGTAA